ATGGTGGAAATCTCATCAAAATGAATATCCGATTTTATCTAAAATTGCATGTGATTATTTAGTAATTCAAGCAACAATTGTTGCTTCAGAGCAAGCTTTTTCTATTGCTGGTAATACAATTACAAAAACACGCAATAGATTACATCTCAAAACAGCTAAAGCATGCCTTTATTTAAAGAGTTGGATTCAAAATGGATTATTGGAGGACAAATTAAATATGAAAATTGAAAAAAAAGTGAAGGATCGAAGGGTGAAATTATAGTAGTTGAAGATAATTAGTATGAATAGAATATATATCAATATATAGAGTAATAGTAATTTTGAATTTAATAAACATTATTCAATAAAATATTTTTTTTCGCGGTATATTTGTTAAATTTTTTATTAGAGTGACGGTCTAAAAGACCGGTCTAAATTAAAAGATCGATGATCTTATGAGACCATTGGTCTCAGTCTTGATCCGATCTTTTTTCAAAGACTGCTAAAGATCAGACCAGATCGGACTGGATCAGACTATTCCCATCCCTAATTTCATAGGAGGACTTTCACGTGATTGGTCGATCAATTTCAATTGAATTTATACAGTTTAAAATACTTTTCAAGATTTAGATAATCTACTTGATAAAATAAGCTAAAATTTTATTTCCAGCTCCGAAATAACTTTAAATTCTCCATGTAAAATAATCAAAAAAGAATCAAAAACCCGGAGAACTTTACTTAGAAGACAAAATATGCCTATCACTGGACCATGTGTAATTACTATATGCCAAAGACGGTCGACTAATTGGAGAAAGGTAACCGAGTTTGTTATTTCCAAAGGTCAAGCTAACCATACTTTACCAGCTTATATCCATTTAGGCGACACAATATACTTGAACTGTTATAATGAAATTGTAACAAGAAGCTCAGCTGAATTCCGACAACATACTCAAGCAAGTACGGCACTCATTTTGATACAACCTCAACCTCCATAGCCTCCGCCTCTACCTTCACCTTTGCCTCCACCTCCTCAACCTCAACCTCCTAAGTCATTGCCACCCTCACCTTCTATTTTATCCTTTTCTGAAGCAATTAAAATAATAACTAACATTTTATATAATTATGAGAATAGGAAAAAGAAATCAATGATATACTCTTTTGATAAATTTTGCACAGTTATGGAGGGGCAAGATGCAAAATTAAAGGGTTTTTTTGATGAGTTATATCTTTTATCTAACCCTTCTTCAAAAAATGAAAGTTCACAGGCACAGGCAAAAAAGCAGCTCCTATTTGCATGCTACTTTCTTTGCAGAATTCATAATAAGTTTGTTAATGACGCAAAGAGAGATTTGACAGTATATCTGGATTCTACTGGAGTTTTTAATTCCTCCATAGACACTCTTGCTGATCTAGGCGTAACCACAACATCTCGTATAATCACATGACATAAAGCTACCATATCTGATGAACATGCTAAAACTGTCGATTCTATACTTGCAAAACATGTAGAGAAAGCAATGGTATTAAACATCGACGATTATCATAGTATTCATACGAAACAGATGCCAAACACGACCACTACTTCTACTGCAGTACATTTGGCAACAATTTTGATAAATCCGATCACTACACAGAGTGCGATTCTGAGTATAAATATATACAATCCTAATTTGATCGATGCAGAATTGATAAAACTGAATCTAAATAATAGATTCATAAAGCTTCTTGGTCTTTCGCATAATCAACATTGGGGATTCCGTTCAGTTGATGATAGTACTAAATTAGAAGAATTAACGGTACATTATTATAACACTAGGTTGAAAGAAAAACGGGATGCTCATTCGATGAAAGACGTTGTCCTTATATATTTGCAAGAAAATAATCTCCACTCTTTAAATGCATATATCAAGGCTATCAATGCTGTTATAAATGTTCTGTCTATACAACAGTATATTCAAAAGGAATATATTATACCTGTTGTAGCTGATTGGCCTGGACAGATCTACCTTCAGACAGCTATTTCTCGTTTTATATTATATCATGATCAATCGAATCTTACTAATTCTATTTTATCATTTCTTCCCATTATAGGTCTCTTGCATATTTCATTAAATAGTCGAGAGCTAATATTCCTTCAATATCAGCCATTTTTTTTGGCTATGTATAAGTACATTTTTGGAGAACGAAGTCCCCTTGCACAAAAGCCTAAACCATGGCGTATTAATCTTCTTTTAGAGATTTCTCGTGGTGCTTGGCAGGAAATTTCAACAAATGTTGAAAGAAAATTTGGATTGCTGTGCAAAGATGCTGAATATCTTGCACTGAAAGATTTACTTGATAACCTAATTCCTCTGGTCCTAGATGTATACGCAGTGTTTTTCTGATCTGGTGACTTTGACGCCTATCTAGAATTGTGTCTTCGTGTGTGGGTAGTATTTCTTAAGTTCTGCCGCAAAAACTATACCAAAGTACCGTTTATGTTCCTTTCAGATATATTCTATTGGGAGTTAAATGATCATCCTATCTTAAAGACTATCAAAGCTGAACTCCCAAAGTTTTCAGACTCGACTGTAGAAATATTTCATAGCTTTCTACGTCGAAGCACACAGAAACACACTGAAGTATAGCAAATCATCAAATGCGGATATTATATCAACCGATTGCGTTTGGATAATAACAGATTTAGAGAGAATATTGCACACACATCCACATGGGCCGCCTATGAATATTCTGCTTGGGATATTACGTTTTTAACGAAGAAAAGTGCATGTTTTCTTTTACAGTGTTTTTCAGAAATTTATACACGCTTATATCGCAATAATTCTCCATTAATATTTCCATTACAGAGTACTGTGAATCCAAATCCATCTTCGAAGAAAAGGAAGAAAATTGATGACATTGTCATTTCATTAATGGCAATGAAAATGCCAGAAGCACGATTGTGTCATCTTCCATTAGGGTTTAATACTTTACATAAACCAAATCCATTTCGATCTTGTGATGCATCTAACTATCCTATTCCTTTATTAATCAATACAGATCTGATTAAAGTCTTAACTTGTGGTCACACCTATCATAAATCTTGCTACACCAATAATGAGTTCAAATGTTTACATTGCCTTTTATTCTTATAAGATTGATGAACATGTCCAATCTTTATTAGAACGTTTACGATGTTTCAAAGAAGAACCACAGATAGAAGTTGAAGATCTGAAAAATGACATTCCATGTGATGATAATGATGAGAGTAAATCTATAGAATATATAACATTTGCATTAGAAGAGGCATTGTAGAAATTTCAACAACAATAAAAATATTATATTTTTTTTTTTATTTTTTTTTTGATTATTATATAAAATTAATAAATTAAACTATTTATTTTATTGTTAGACTTTTGATTAGACTTTTGATTTAATATACATTGTTTAAAGTTTAAATATTATAGTTTAAATATAATAGTTAAATATAATAGTTAATTATATTATTATATTATAATATCACGTGATATGTATAAATATTTACAATATCAATTATAAAATTCGTGTAACCCGATCAGCCAATCACATGAAAGTCTTCCTATGAGGTATAAATCTAAATCTGATCTTTTTAATAAAAATTTTTACCAACTCTTTAATCTCTTTTATGATTTTTCATGGGTAGTGTAACACTTTTGTTACTGATTTTAGAAAGAATTATATAAAATTTTTATTGACTTTATTTAATTTATTTTATTATGATATAAAGCTTTGGAAAAGAAAAAGAATATTCTTGCGGCACAAATAGCCGAATTATCAAATCCTGCTCCAACGGGTTAGTTTTTTTATTTATTTATTTATTTTAATAATAGGAATTTTTGCATTGTATTAATAAACACTAATTATCTTTGAAGATATTGATCCGGAAGAATTTGGCGAAACCTTTCGTACATATGGTTGTGATCAAAGTGATGATGATGGAGAAAATGAAAAAGTAGAAAAGGATATGGGAAGAGAACATTATATTTCAGTTGGGTATGATTTGATCATTTATGGTTATTGATACTCGAAAACTTTCTCGAAACTATTTGATAGTTATTTCTTTTATTTATAGAAAGAGTACTCTTCGGCACAACCTATTCATTTTGGATGATCCAAAGTATGTTGGAAAACATAGTAATAGGAAAGATATATTTGATGATTCCAATGACATTGAAGATATCGAAATGACATTCGGAGTAGGATCTGAATATGACAATGAAAATGAGATAACGGCTTATAACAAGGAGGATAAACTTTATTCAGATAAAAGGAAAGGTGATGAAGATCAGGAATCAGATTTTGATAATAAAGATGATGGCGCATCTTTAGAAAATGGTTCACTTGTTCAGGAAGAATTAAAAAAAATTGAAGAAGATGAACGGTACGACTGTTTATTTATCAATTCGCTTGATGAAATTTAAAAATATTAATGTATAATTGAATTTAGGAATTTGTTACACAAGATGACACAAAATGTTCAAGAAGATATAAATAAAGGGCGGCATGTTAAAACACAACTGGTATGTATCATAACCATGAAGTTATTTGCTTTTCAGTGATATTTCCACATTCTTATGTAACCTCTTTTTTAAGGGACTTTGGGATACATTTTTAGATACTCGAATTCGCCTCCAAAAAGTTGTCTCTATTGCTAATTCATTACCTCAAGTAACATGTTAAATCATATATTTTATTGAGTTAAATTATTTTGGATTAAATTGTTAAAATATTATTTGCACTTATAGAATGATGTTTATTCAGGATTTCTTGAGCAAGAATCAGAGATAGCTGTTCAAGAAACACGAAAAGAATTAAGGGAACTTGTAGATTCACTTATAGATTTAAGAAAGGTATATATCATCAATATTTATTTTTCGGTATTTAGTCTTATTTTTAGCCTCCAATTAATTTTATATTGACATTAGGATTTATACAACGAGAATGAAAATATTGAAGGAATTTCTGATAACACGATTAATAGTCGTAAGCGTCATCTTGATGATGAAGATTACGCAGAGTACTTATGGAAAGACATGAAAGAATTACGTGATCAATATTTACCCTATCGTAAGCAAACTATTGACAAATGGAGTAATAAGGTCCAAATCGC